AGTTTCTTATATCTTAATAAATTTATCAAAATTTTTTTTTATTTCTAAAATATTATTTTTTTCAGATTTATTTGGAACCGAGATGGATTTTTAACATGGTTACTTGGTCGAAGTTATGCGATTATAGAATGGACAATTAGTTCGATTGATGGTATATGTATTCCTGGTATTAATAGAATAAAACAGTATGGTACATCTAAAAATATATTTGGTGAGAAAAAAGTTTTCTGGTATAACAAATGATTTCACAGTATTATGTTAAACATAAAATAATAATGAAACTATAAATTGAATTAAATTAATTTTTAGCTTCATTTATTTATATATTCTGTTTTATGTTTTACTCTTTAATATTTTCATATTTCATTTATTCATTTTACACAGTTTTGTTTCTCTAATACATATTTTTTTTAAAAATTTGTGGTGGTCGGTATTCGATATATCCCTTAAACTTCGTATACAATTCGTCTTGATAACCGTCCTATTTAACCACAACGGTATATTATTCAGAAGGCGAATACGAAGCGTTGATTACGTTTATTTCGAGACCACACACACAGATGTCCAAATTTACAGATGCATTAAACGAGCATTAAGAGTTGTGTCGAACGGCAAACAGGCAAGCGAGCGACTGAGTGAATGTAAGTAATCGAGTACAATCAAGTGAGCGAGAAAGCAGAGTCAACCATATAAATAACATGGACATATATATAGCATGTGAAATTAATGAGTAATCGAATCAAATAAGCGGTTAGTAGTGAGACTAGCAGAGTGAACAAATGCGTAGGCCGTAAGCAATATTCAAGCATGCGTATTTCATACAAGCACAAAATAATAATAAGGGTACAATAAATTGTTATAGTGCGGATGGCTTTGTCCGCTAAATAAGTTAGCAAAAGGGCTTAACTGAGTTAAATGAGAATAAACCCATTTGCACGTGAGTCGCTATAAATTCCTAAATATTCCCTTAAATAAAATACCTTTTATGAAATTGACAAAAGTACTTACTTACGGCTGTTACTTCTCGTAGAAGAGTATAGGCCGCACACCAGCACACTCCATCCAACGTTGTCCTAGGCAATCCCTTCCAGTCCTTCCAATTGTTATTTCATCTTTTTCATATCTGGTTCGATTTCCCGACGTAATGTATTCTTTGGTAACAATATTTTAACTTACTTATTACAAATCAATCTACACACAATCAGTATTTATTTGATATTAACATTTCTTTCTTTCTTAAATGTATCATTTATTTATTTATTAAATTTGTTAATTAAATTATAAAAATTCTTTTTATTAATTTGTTTTAAATGATAAAATTCTTTTCAAATTTTTCAATGACCTTGAAGTTTCTTCAGTTTTCTTTTACATATATATGATCAGTATTTATTGGTTTGATAACATTATCTAAATCTCATTTTCTTCAGGTAAGACGAATTATAAAAAAATTCTTTATAAATTTACATGATCATTGATAATAAATAAATAAATTAGATGAAGTTGATTTTGTTGTTGAATTTCAAAAAGAGACCTTGTTTTAATTATTATTATTATTAAACAAGATTCATGTATTATTCATAAACAAAATGGGATTGATTAACTAGTTTTACATTTTGTGTGTTCTTTTAGAAATGAACAAACAATTAAGTTTTTTGTTGTTGTTATTATGATTGATTTTATCAAACAATATAAAATCATATTGTTCTAAATTATTCAATGATTTATTCGTTAGGTTTTGTTTCAATTCTTAAGTACATTGATGCAGAAAATGAATTACATTTATTGCAAAAGTTGTTTTGGTCAATGGTATATTAGCTTGATTTACATAATCAGTGAGTAGAAAATAAAACTATGATTAACCTAAAATTCTAATTTTGCTAACTAGGTTTTAAATCAGATCAACCAAGTAAGGTCGCTGAGATCACAATATTAGAGGCCTGAAAGACTTTTCAATAAATAAAATGATTAGTATTAGTTGTATGTATATTCATTGCCGAAAAAAAGAGTAAAACTTTATACGAATCATAATTTCAAGGACATAATAGAACTTCTTACAGGATACAAATGTCAAAGATTAGTATTCACCTTATTTTGACTGAATTATTCGGGCTGATATCTACCGGCAGACACCTTTGGCACAACATACCAGAGATGAAATTTTTCAACGGTCAACTAATTTAAGAAACCAATGTACTACAAATCGTTGATCTAAGTCGAACAGAAATCCAGTGATTTAGCTAACCAAAGGCATCAAACAGTTGAAATATCGATCCCCTGTTTCCTTATGGTAAACGTTCTAGCAGCCACGAGCCTTTGTTTTAAAGCAGTGTAATTGATTCTACGTTATACATATACGAATTACTGAACACCGTTAAAAAGGGAACCTTGCATGATGTTCGACGTATTTTCAAGTTTACATCAGTTTCAACTAGCTTTTTCGCTCCATTAATCAATTCATCTTGTAACTGCAAAATTTCCTGCTTATAGTATTGGACTGTTCTCAGTTGCTTTTATTATTTTAAATTTAACGATAATGAATGATTTATTTTCCTTATTATTTATCTCCCCAGTTTCAATTATCTGCTTTAATTAAAAAACCTCTTGGTTTGTAGAAGATAGGTATTATATGTTAGTTTGATTGATACATCTATGTCTATGTGAAGGGACACAAGCAGAAACAAATTAACACCTAGGATAAAAATATTGTGCTACTGAAAATTCTCACCCAGTCACATCATGATATGAGAAATGGTGGAGATATTTTTATCAAGAAAACCAGGAAAAATAAAGAAATTACACATTACAAAATGTGTACAACCTTCTGATAAATATTCTTAAAAGTATAGTATCGGACTCATAAAACAATAAAATGTCAAGTTTCTCAGCATATAGATCCCATAACTCTATAGAGTCAAATCACAACATCAATCAAGAAAATAACTGAGTTGCTACTCTGAACCATGCAAATAGTTGCAGTTTCCGACTTACTTTACAGAGAGTATTGTAAACTTTTAAATAAATATTTATAATATTCCAGTGAGTAGAAAAACTAGATTTTCTGATGTTTCTTGACATAGTATAAGCCACATCTTCAGAGATTAAATAACCAAGTTGAAATTATTTATAACAATCTACTAGTCACTAGTGAGCATATGTTGATTAATATCAGATGGGTTTTGCGAAGATTGTAGTAATTTCAATGGTTAAGATCGTGAGTCAGTTGAAGCTAGACCACCATTGTTATAATTCTGTTTTCTTACGGTTAATGACCCAGCTATTCCTATTGCTTAGTATTCTCGGACACCGATTCACTCGACGAGTCCCCAAATCAGAACACGGTTGAACAGGAAAAAGATTATATTCCAAATAGCAAATCAGAAGCCAGTAGGAAGCACAATAGGGGAAAACGTCGGTATATTTATAGTGTTTTACATAAGAAGATTCCAGAGTATTCTCCGACTATCGACTAGCGCTGATTGGATAAGAATCAGCCAATCAGCGTGCACCAAAACAATCATGCATTGAGCATGCTTTAATCTAGTCTATGCCCCGCTAACAACCATGGAAAACCTGGAAGCACTGGACGGCCATTTCGTCCTATTTTGGGACTCCTCAGCAGTGCGCATCCACTGACTTCATAAGGTATTTCCTGAAGTTCTAGTGAAAAGTAGTGACCAGTGGAGTTCAACCGAGTCTGTTGTGAGATAGTAACTCACCGAGATATTAAGTAGTTCATTAAAAAAAGGAAATAAATATTTTCACAGATTGAACTGTTGAGTCAGTTGAAGCTAGACCACCATTGAAAACCTGGAAGCACTGGACGGCCGTTTCGTCCTAGTATGGGACTCCTCAGCAGTGCGCATCCACGACCCCGCACCACCCGGGGCTCGAACCCAGGACCTACTGGCTTCGCGCGCGAGCACTTAACCATTAGACCACTGAGCCGGCATCCAACGGTGTTAATGTCTAACTTCAACCAATCCACGAAGTTGCGCTACCGTACACCATTGTCTTCAGTGAGTTCCTATCTCACAACAGACCTGGTTGTACTCCACTGGTAACGGCTTCCCACTAGAACTCCAGGAGTATCTCTGGAAGTCAGTCACTAGTGAGCAGATGATTATTATCAGAATGTGTTTTGTGGAGATTTTTTTTAGAAATTTTCACAGATTGAAATCATGAGTCAGCTGAAGCTAGACCACCATTGGATTGGTTGAAGTTAGACATTAACACCGTTGGATGCCGGCTCAGTGGTCTAATGGTCAAGTGCTCGCGCGCGAAGCCAGTAGGTCCTGGGTTCGAGCCCCGCGTAGTGCGGGATCGTGTGTGCGCACTGCTGAGGAGTCCCATGCTATGACGAAACGGCCGTCCAGTGCTTCTAGGTTTTCAATGGTGGTCTAGCTTCAACTGACTCATGATTTCAATCTGTGAAATTTTCTAAAAATATCCACAAACCCCTTCTGAAAATAAATATTTGTTAAATAATTTTTTTTCAAATTAGAATTCTGTATACATGTACAATATAAAAACAAAAGACAAAAGAAAGCCACAACGATGATAACATTAATTCAAATTATATATAGGTATATTGAACATACACATATATGTTAAATATTAAAAAAACTAAAATACACAAACGTCAGTGTCAAATACAATCATTTTGCCGTTGTTAAATATAACAATTATGAGTTACTGTATAAAAGATATACGATGACAATTTATTATTTCCGTTAATTGCTTGTAATTAAAAGAGGAACGTGTGTGTGTGTGCGAGAGACACACACACACACACACAGAGAGAGAGAGAGAGAGATCAATCCTGATATCATCATTACAATTACAATGAATTGATTAATTAGAAAGAAATAAAAACTCGATGGTATATATTTCTTCACTTAAACATATTCTATTCAAAATTTATTTTGGAAGAAAAAGAAAACGAAAACAGAAAAGAAAAAAATTATTGGGGAGGAATACAAAAGGGGAAGAAAGACGAATTATTATTTAATTAATGTAAAATCATTCGAACTATCTAATCTTGAAGATAATGTTGAAATTGAATGTTTAGCATTTTGTAAACCGGATTTTTCTATAGTTCTACCAATTAATGAACCCCAAATTAATGTGAATAATATAATACCAAGTAATATTTCAAATAAACATTTTATAATTGATGTTAATCTATCAGCTGGATATATTAATATTAACATAATTAATAAAATTGTTATAAATATCGCCCATATTAAATGCAATAAACGACCATGTATACATTGATTCAAACCACGAGTTAATTGTTGATCTATATCTAATAATAAATCACGTAATCGATTTAATTCATTTGTTGACATTGTTTCACCCTCTATAGAATAAAAAAGGAGATGAATTAGTACTGTATTATATTTAAATATATTTAGTAATTATTAATATAAAGTAGATTCATTTTGTCTGTAAACAAAAACAACTAGACAATAATATCGGATTATGGTTAGTAATTGAATTTATCACGTGAGTTTCGCTTTCTTTAGGACTCGTCAGCCGGATCCATCCGTAAGGGACCCAGTGTAGATCCTTAAGTTGTTATTCCGACTCAGCAATTTGCGCTTCAAATGCTCGTGTTATTCATTCGGTTATAGGGTCTAGACAGCCACAATGTTGCGTGAGAAAGGGTGAAACATGTGTCACTATCCAAATTTAGTAAAAATGGGTATATTAGGCTAATTCGCTCAGGATTTACACATACCAATAAAGAATGTTCCATTGTAAATACTTAATACAGACAGGAAAGTATAAACCCTTGAGGGAATAAAAAATAATACTCAACAACTATATTAGTTTTGCTCGCAGTCCTGGGTCCGAGTCCTGCCTGCAGGGTCGTAGATGCGCACTGCTGAGTAGTCCCATACTAGGATGGAATGGTCATCCAATGCTTCCAGGTATTTGGTAATGGTCTAACATGAATCAGTTCATCATTTCAATGAAATCCAACAATATCCGCGACCCTATAATGAAACCCTGCTTTAGTTGTGATGGATTTTGAATTGGAATATAGTGCATTGACATGAATCGATTCATGAAATCTCCAAACGCCAGCAAAATGACACATATTTCATACATTTTTAAAAATCAACAACTAATGAATTGACGGACCGTTGTTATTACTATACCGACCTTAAATACTAAAGTCTTCTCGACAACATGCTTTACTTATCAATTAAATAAAAGTCTACAGTTTTATTAAATTACACCTAACCTCGTTTATTTATGTAGAAAGTATTCGCCACAGATTGCTCTCAATTGAGGTACATTTGAAAATCAAAAAGCAATCGAGAGCTGCTTTGTCCTCATAATAGACTTGTAGTGCCTTGTAATATATCAAATTCATATGCTTTATTCTAGCTTCCGTATATCCCGGGGCCACCGAGTAAGTAACATAGTTGTTAGGAAACGGGTACTAGGTAAGGATGGTAAATCAATTGATGAAGTAGTAAAACTTCATCATTTCAGATGGCTTGGACATATGTTACGTATGCCCAAACACCGACTGCCCCGACGTGCGATGTTTTATGGTGTAGGAGTAGGTTGGAAGAAAGATAGGGGCGGTCAGACCAAAACATGGCACAAATACATGAAGTCACCGACAAGTGGATTGAGTCATGTTGGTAGGTGTAGACTACCTGGTTGGAATCCGCGAGACAGTAGCAACCGATGGTTAGGAACTCTGAATAACATGGCTCAAAATTGTCTGCAATGGCGCAAGTGCATCTACTCTTTGTGTTCTCCCAAATTCTAATCTTCTGAATTCTTCATGTCCCTTTCTTTTTTCTCTTTCTAAATTTATTTCACTGGATTATACTCATTGAGTAACATCTTCAAACCCTAATGTTTCCGATCACTGCTTATACTCTTACTACCTCTACAACTACGGGATTTCAATCGACAACTGCATCTCTGTGCTAATGTGGTATGGCAACTCGAACTGATGTACGTACGTACGAAGTTCTACGTTGTTACTGACTGACTGAGCTTCCGTATAGACCAGTTTATTCGTTCTTGAATCAGATTTTGATGTTGTTAATTATTTACTTACTGTTTTTTTGAGTGTATGTGTATGAATTGCTTACCGTACCCATCACATGTCTTCGGATTACTTTTGTCTGGATATAAATATTAAGTCTCGCTTTATGAAAACGAGTTGGCTCATTCGCCTTTGCCGCTCCGCTTCTCTTTATCGCCTCCTATTCTGAATGTCCGTCTGGATAAACGAGAGCATGAAATAAATTCATCCAATCCAATCTGTATTTGGCTTCTTATTATTGCCAGATTAGCACGGGTAATATACGGAGTTAAATGAAAGATTTATGCTCATAGCATATTCATAGGTCTATCAACATTGGAATCAGATCAATGAGCTATCAAAGGCTTCTTGTCAATGAGTAGCCGTGACCTCAACAGTCACCAAACTCACGATCTTCAGATTTCGCAATGAACACTTAACCCTTAGAACTAATGGGCCGGCGTCGATTCATGCACTTTTCCACTTCAAACAATTCGCAATTCAGCGCAACGATCATACATGGCATTAATGGCGAATATTTTACTCTAGCCTTGTCTGAATTCCGATCGTCACGAGCAACAAGTCAAAAATAGAATTATGTTGATAAAGCTGAATGTAAATATTATGATGAAATAGAACAAAGAGATGTCGCATATCAACAAATGAAAACATTGATTACTAAAATGTACAAGTGAAGCAAACAATTCAACCAGGATAATTTTCTTTCAGATAGGGAAGTTCACCTAAAATTTAAAAAGTGTATTGAAAAACTGCAGGGGACTCGCCAGTAGTCTCTGTTGTTTTCAAGTCACTGAGTCCCATGGTTTCTATAGAACTAACCAAGAAATCGTGAAGAATTAGCAAATATCGATACTATAAATTTATTTTTCATATAACAGTCATCACAAATCTGAATTACACGCGGTCCATTTAGTAGTCCCGCCACATAGCAGGAATTTAACGGATATAAAGAAAACTATATATATGGCTCTCTTAAACTATCTACAATTGAGGATTATTAAAGTGTCACTAGAAAAACAGACCTATGCTATACTTTATATTCTTTTTAACAGCGTCTGAATTACATACATCAGAAAAACTAACGCATATCTAGTGCGTATCTGATTAAATTTCATTGGGCAATCAGCAACAGCCAAAGTGGCTGCTTACTAAATATTTCTTAAAGTCAAATTGAACACTAATATGAATAACTTTTTTAAATCTTGTGCAAAATGGATGGCAAGCACTAGGAGAATGTTTTCAATTTTAATCAACTTAAATGGCTATTGTTATTAAAAGTGAGTTTGTAGAGATTGGCTAAGTTTGCAAGCTGTATTCGTCACAGGTTGATATCAATTTAAGTACTGCTAAAAATCATGAAGTACTAGACAACTATTTCATCCCAGTATAGAACTCAGTAGTGCATGTCCACGACACCATCAGAAATCAAACCCATATTCTTCTAGTCTAGTGGTGAACATTCGACTAACCGCTAGCTTGTCGTCCAATGGTACAATACCAACTTCAATCACATTGAGATAAAACGCAACAAACATCCAAGGTCATTAGTGACAACTGATTAACTTCCGATATATTTGAACTCCAGCAGTCACAACATACTAAAAATCCATGAATATCATGATCTTAGTGAGCTGAATATTATAGTTTAGTTGATGGGATATTGTGCACATTGATTCAATTCACACAACGAATTTACCAATACAATCTACGGACAATCATGATGATTGTAATTCTAATTACATAACTACATGATAAGAAAAAATACAGATAATCAAGTAGAAACATATACCTGGTTTGACAGGATTGCGTAATCTTGTAATAGTAAAGCTTGCAGCTACACCTTCATGATCGGAATAATGTAAACCATATGGGTCGTCAGGTACTTTACGCATATCTAACCAACACGAATCACAGACAAGTTTAGCATAGGCTATAGTAAAACAGAAATTAAGTAGAAAGACAATTCATAAAATATTTTAACTTTTTTATTAATGATGATTAGAAAAAATAAAGTAAATATTTTATTACTACGATATATAATTGTTCAAGAAATGTATAAACATATACAATACTATTTGTTCTAATATAAATGAATATTCATATATACAATAAAAACACACATTTTATTATAAAGTTATTGAAGTGATACAAAACAATTAAACATTAGACTTATTTCATATTATAGGATCAGAGGTAGTTAACAGTAAACCGTGAACATGGATACTATGCTGTTTGAGACTCATTATGAAGGCGTACCTGCAATCTTGAGGCAAATGATGCATTATGTTAGATTCAAATCAGTGTCACTCACTTTCACAGTTCAAAACGTGATCACTGAGTTACACATATAAAAAAATTTCAAAATGTATATTCCCTTTTGTAACACTAATCCACTAGATATTTTAAAGCATTATTATAATATAATTTATCCAAATGTTACTGATATCAAATCAATAATAAGAGTGTAAAAATTCTAGAGTAACATACAGATTAACATGACTTAATATATTGTAGTAAGCCCATCCAATTACTGCATTATTTATCTACCCATTGGAATTTAAACACTTAATCCATAATGTAATTTTCTGTGTGATTCTGATTGAGCACATAACTGCACATCAATTTCTAATCTATTCTCTGATTGGTTGTAATACACAGACGATCAATAATTTATCCACAATCGATTAACACTCATAAATATAAATGGATTTTTAACACACACACAAACACACTCTTGGTTTCCCTGTGTGCTTGCTTCTTATACGTTTGCGGATTTTACCAATCTTTAACAATAAACTATCTCTATAACTGGTGTTCAGGCTTTTGAATAATCTCGAGTAAATCCATAATTCTACTAAGAGATTTAGCCTGCATTAAATACTCAGTTAACGGGATACTATTTATTGGAGTCAGATATAGGGGAAATTAACCTCTACAGCATTAAACTTTAAGCATCTCAGTAACTAAATGTAAATAAAAATGAAAAATGTGTTATTTTTTTGTTTTCTGATAAATAAAAGTTCAGTTCGTACTGTATTTGTTTGTTTCGATTTCTTTTTTCTCCACGAAATTGTTTATTTCATAAAGTGAAATTATTTAAATAATTAAATCCATTTTTTAATTAATCCATATTATTTAGATAAATTATATATGTATAAATATATCACTTTTTCATTCTATTTGTGTGTGGGCTGTGGTACTGCCTGGGTGCCCAGACCGAAGTAGGTGGTTTTCTTTGGGAGTCACACTCGGAGCCCTCGATCTAAAGGTTTGACCCACAAGACAGTGGAGCGACATCAGGAGATGCAGTCCCTTGATAGTCGGTGACCAACAATTGGTTCATACGCCATTTGTTCCTTCAGGATACTGGAGCCCATGTGCACCATTGGTTTAGAATCAGGGTTTTCCAACTCTCCTAGGTGGATCCTCCATATCCACCAACCCGGTTAAAGCGTTGACCATTCGCTTTTCGTCTTCTCAATTTTGCAAACAACACCCCCGTCACGAGAAGGCAGTGAATAGGACTTCCCTGACAGAGGCTATATACCCGTGGCCATGTGAGAGCATTTCGAGAGGGAGTGAGAGCCCTCCCCACTCCCGGCCATACCAGGACATTTGGGAGCATATATATCTGGTGCCCCCTTGTACCAATATTTATGTGTTCAAATAAAAAACAAATAAATATATCACTAAGTAACACCGTAGATTTAAAAAAACCTGATATATTGAATAATCAATTAGAAAATGAAGGTAGAATTTATCAGTGATAACTTCTAAAAAATTTCGTAGTTTCAGTTTTACAATAATCTTTTATTTTGAACTTAAACATTATGAATATTTTTTATGCTTAACTGATTTTTAATCTTATAGTTACTAATTTAAAAAATGTATTATACATTCTAAATCTATTTTAAGCTGATTTGTGTTTAGAGGATAAAGTATTTTATAAAAGAATTAAGCATATCTTTTAATTCTTTTCCGTTTATGCAATTGAAATTCTTCGGACTATATAATAGTATAAGAGATAGTATTTTTAATAGTTGAGATCATGAATCAACTGAAGCTAGACCCTCATAGAAAATTTGGAAGTAATGAACGGCCGTTTCGTCCTATTGTGCGACTACACAGCAGTGTGCGTCCACGATCCACGATCTCACAAGATGGGATAGTGGAAGCACAATGCTGAGAAATCCGACAATAGAACAAAACGACCGTCCAGTGCTTCCAGGTTTTCCATGGTGGTCTAGCTTCAGTTGACTCATGAACTCAACTATAATATCCACAAAACCCCTTCTGACATTAAAATATTTTTGTTTAGAAAGCAAACAAAAAAACAACTTTCTTAAAATGTGTAATTCACAAAAAGATAATTGAAAGTTGTCTATTATATATAGATTTGTTTTACAACTAAAATATTAGCAGAAATGATCAATTATGTAGCAATCTCTTCATTCTCAAACTAACATCAAATGGAGCAGTGTTGGAAAATTTAAGGGAGGGATTGTAATTGTGGACTGAAGAGAGGTTTCGGATGATACATGAAAATTTTCCATAGTGTCATAAGAAGACGAAGATTATCAGAACTATGTGATATATTAGTGCAATACGTAGCGTCGACCGTTCGATTACTAACCAATCAGAATATTCGGAATCGCCAAACAAAAAGTATTCAATTGTTAGAAAAATAATATCCTAACATCAATAGTTCACCCTAAATGAAATTAGTCTGTGATGAAACATCATAATTACACTATACACTTAATTCAATCAGTTATAATCAATATTGGGCTTGACACAAATGTACATTACCACAAGTTCTAATACCAAATTAATATAATGAAATAAAATTAACAAAATGAATAAAAAAGCAGTCCAAATAATAGTAATATTAATGACTAAAATTGGATAATACATTTCAAAAAAAAAGAAATGAGACGATACGCATAACGTAATATTGAAACTCAAGATCTAGAAGACAATTAAGAGTGTCACTGTGACCGATTCTAGGTCATGTTTAATTACTGACCATAATCATTTTCTTGAACATTAAGTCAGGTAGTTTTCAGTCACTAACGTGGATAATTCCAATAGTTAATAACTTCTTACACTGATATCATAACGGTAATTACGTCCATGTTAAATCTAACAAACTAAAATTCTCAGTATAAGATTGCAGAGATTATTGAGTTTTTAATTTGGATCATGAACTGATCAATGCTAGACCACAATGTCATTGTGGGACAGTTACTCACTGAACACAATGGTGGACGGCTGCACAATATCGTGGATTAGTTGAAGTTAGACATTAACACCGTTGGATGCCGGCTCAGTGGTGTAGAAATTAAGCGTTCGCGCGCGAAATCAAAGGTACTGGGTTTGAGTGAAGCGTGAGGGATCGTAGATGAGCACTACTGAGGTGTCCCATACTAGGATGAAACGACCACCTAGTGTTTCTAGATTTTCAATGGTGGTCTAACATTCATCAGTTCATGATCTCAATTAAAAACTGAAATTCATATTACTTACACTACTATTTCTTTTCATTGAAATACACACCTAAAAACTAATTACGTAGGTAGCATCTAAATGAGATTTATAAAATGTATTCATACTCATATATACATATGTATATGTATAGACATTATGAAAAATTAATTTACAGATTTAGAACCATAAAAAATCAACGTAACATATTTTTCTTCCAAAAAAAGAATTCATAATAATTATCTTCATTTGGATAAAAATAGTGTTGTATTTGATTTTGGTTATTTCATGCCACATGCCACATTTCATGCCACATAATCTATTTTTCCACGCAAATACTATTTTTAAGGATATCCGAAAATACTAATTACGCATGTATTAGGTTAATTGTGATATCTTCCTTTTTTGCTTACTTATTCTATTTAAATGTACTCCAACATCAGTGACAAGTACGCACATACCCACATGAATACTCACAGCTCTGATGAATCATACCTGTATGGTTATAATGAAGAGAGAAATATTAAAAAAAACTATCGTTTGCAAATATCTATTAGCGAACATCTTAACTACTGTAGTGAACGAGAACATAAGTGGAGATAATCGAATGCATTTTAATGCATTATAGAATATCATAGTAAAATCTGTAAACCATACAATAAATACTTCATTTGCAAAGTGTTCATTAATTGTCTCAGATCTCGGTATCCCTTCATTTTCACATCAACTGCTTCCTGTCCCCGTTTTTTTCCTCCTCGATCTTCTACAGCCAGACATTCTATTCCTGACTAGCGTAAAATACTACTTATGTCGATATAAATAGCACACACTACTGTTAATTGCATTACTTTAATTTTTTTTAATTTACGAATGAGTTTGCTCATGACAAATTAATGTGAAGTGAAAATAGTTAGGGAAAAAAGTGGACAAATGTTGTTATGTTAAATTTTTCAACTTCAAAAAACTTTAACATTCTATAACAGTCATAAACACAATAGAACCTGTTTCGTTTGAAGTTGCCACACTATATGAATTATCAAAATAAATGTCACAATAGTGGAAATAGTAACAGTAACAATGGTGACAGAAAAGATAAGACATAAACAGTGAGATTTAAGAATGAGAAATTAAAAATTAATGTAATTTTAGAGCTTGAAATCTGAGAGAAGATAGAGAGTGAATCTGTACCATTTCACCTAACATTTTCAACCATTAGACCAAATAGTCTAGTGGACCACAAATAGGGAATCTGTACCTACCAACACAAATAACAAACTGATACCAAGTCGTGGTTTTGGTGTCCCTAGATTTCTTCCAGTCTACTCTGACATCAGTAAACGTCGCACGTCGAGGTAAACCATGGTTAGGCATAAGTAATACAACATTCATGCTACCTCACTTGATGGAGTTTAACAAACTTAACCGATTTTTTATTTTCCCTAGTACCCTGAATTCGGCCTACGTAGAAGAAAGGCATGATTGTTAACGAAATTTTCAAGGAAAATACCTTACAAATATCACTAAACCTATTCACATTTCCAACTTTAGTTAAATCTTAACATAAAAAGTGACAATTATTCAACTGCTTCACCTCCCAAATTGTTCAATGTTAACAATAATATTGTAGTCCGACTGGTATTCTTAAAACTAATGGAAAGCTAGTGACTAGTAAATATCTAAGATTTTTTTCAGTTGCACACAAATAAATTATACTGGTAAACAAGAGGGCAGTTCTAAATACCGAAACCGATTCATAAGGAACTTAGTATTGTGATGATATTAAGATGATAAAGAAGCTGGTGACGACCGTGGTGTAAATGAGTAGTATGTAGATTGCCTGCTAGTTGATCTTTCATTCTTTATGCCAGATGTACAAAAAAGAAATATCATATAACTAGATCTCTCAAAATATATTGATTTTATTGTAACAAAAAAGACATTCCAAACTCTGAAGTTATTGTGCAATCACAAGTGTTCATACAGTGACATTTTGGTTATGAATGCTGTCCATCAAGTTACAATGTGGTTACTAGTCTGAGTAGCTCGATATTGTATGCACTATGATGAGCTTTAAGATCATAGGCACGCCTTCCAGAAAAGTGCTAAATAGCATTAAACTTTGCTCCAAGTTTTCTAATCGACCACCTCACATTTTAAGATAGAATATTCGAGATTTGAAAGGTTCATCCTACTTTCATGAAGAATGTAGTGTAAAACAAAAAGAAAATTGAGGTTATCTTCTGTTTTTACCTAGATACTAATGAACGACATAATCTCTAGGATCTCAACTAAGGAAGTTCTTACGGACCAATTTAATACTGATGGCATAAAACTGTTTCGTTCCATACAGTAAACAACTACTTACTTTTTATACCTATTAGTATTGGCGAATAATTCAGAGTGAAGAGGTCTATGAGACGGTGTGTTCGTAAGCCAGTTTCATCCGAAAAAACGATGGTAATGATGATGGAACCAAGTGACCAATCAATCAACATTATTTAAAGGGATATAAAACCAAAAAAGGATAAATCAATCCAATAACAATAAAATCATCACCATCATTATCTTACATGGTATATGAAATGAATCTATTATTGATGGCCCAGAACGATAAAATATGTAATCTAATCTTTCACCATTCCCATATGTATTTGTTCAAAGTTGATTACGATAAGGATTATCAGCTCGATCACACGTACATCCCTCTGACTCTAATTCTGTAATATTTGTATTCTTCAAAGCAACAGTCTATATATATGCACATATTTTTTTATTTTACGGAGGAAAAAGAATGGAAAACATAAGAAAAATAATTTTAATTTTTTGGAAAAAAATATAGTCACTATTATTTTTTAAATGGCACATCAGTCAGACTGGCTCATCTGTGGTTATTGTATGAGGACTTCAGTCTTTGATTATAGACTCAGAAGACCTGTCAGATAGAATTATATCTAGTTTCAAGATCCTAGCTAGTGTCGCAGTCAGTCTAACAACTTAAACCGGAAGCTTTGAAGTTAATCTACCTGGTCCTTTCCAAATTCGTTGAGTCGATAGGCTTACCTCAATTTCTCATTCAGATTGTTTTGAAAGTGGTTAACCACATAGTAGTTGAAGTTAGCTGAGCTGTTTTTCGGAACGTTTCACCCATCGTCCCAATTTTCCAGCCTGACAGTGGACCAAAGTATATGCTTCTACTGAGATCGTTGCACTAACAACTGACTCTACAACACCTGTGTCCTGATATATCTGATCAGTTACCAACTATTATCTATCCAATCAGCCTGTTCCATTTCTTTTGTTTTTGTCACCAAAAACTCAAAATCATATCACTGCTGTTTTTATGGCTGTTTTGATATTTTACCAAGCTTAACATTATTCTAGACCAAACGTCTCTCTATTTGTTTTTGAAATACACTCTTGATCTTCACATAATCAAGATGAACACTAGAGTCTTTCGGTAAGACGCATGCCCACACCACAACACGATCCGAGTCTAAATATAAGCTCCAGAACAAGCGGGGTTCTCCTACCGAGCCCCTCAAGCGATAATTGATGTAAATATGGTATATTCGTGTCAATTCTGTGGTCAGTCATGTTAAATATTTCTCCTTATTCTTGACAATGATTTTGTTAGAAACAAATTATTACCTGAGAATAGTTTCAACATGCCCTTCTTTTTATCTGTTCGGTGATCCGGGACACTGAAAGGCAGATCTATTTATTTTCTAGCTTCATTTACCCTAGCCAATTGACCATCATAATAATCTCCTACGATTACTGTCTGAGGATTTAACTTTTTTAAAACGGGTGTAAAGCTTCATATAAATTTCATTTCTTACTTCTATCAAAAGGAAGTGAGTGAGAGGGTATACTGAGATGAAGGTTAACGATGTGTATCTTAATCTGTTCAAGTTTTTAAAGGTTCTGTTGATCTGAAAAGCACACAGGCGACTGTCTAATGAAATATATCCCAGAAGTGACTGTTGTACTACGGAGCTTAGTACTGCATTTACGCTAACCAGAGCACGATAAGTAGGGATGATGTCTCCAGATGTACGAAGGGTAAGTCGTCTTCGTCCATAATTGATTAGGTGAGGTCAATTGCAAGTTTCGGAGTTATATATATATATATATATATATATATATATTAATGCCACATTATTCTCGAGTCCTAACTAGTAAACTACTAAGCTGTAACATTCACTGACACATATAGTGACATATACAGTTGACAAATAACCAACAGTGAATAATGTAGCTAATTTGCCAAGTAAGTCTTTCTTTCTCATCAGTACATTTGTAGACACTATTTATGCCACTCAACTGCGTAAAATGAAATATAGCAAGATTTGAATCTATCAATGAAATATCAAATGATCTTAACCTTTTAAACTATTGTTTCATTGAAATATAATCAACAATATACATAACCAGAAAAACTTTCCACATTTTAAAAACTGTCATTATTAGCATAAAATAGTATATAATGATGTACAGACCATAATAAATAGAAATTACTATACTACTTCTAATGGACATTCAATGTAATAATATAATCAGCTGATAATAGATCAATAGTAATTCTTTTTTCAAATATCATATTTATCACACGAGTTAACCACATGAATATTCTAAAATAACTAAGCCCTTTACATGATACTATGATAATGATGATGATATCTGATTACATCTTGTTTTTTATGAACTAAAGTTATATAAGATTATATAGAAACATGAAAATATGTACATTTAATTGTAATTTTTACTTGGAAAGATCTTCCATACACGTATCTCTATAATATATATATATATATATATATATATATATATATATATATATATATATATATGAAAATGTGAGCCCCGCTTATTCTTCAACAATTTAAGATGTGGTTGATTGGGAAATAGTTTCCAATGCAAAATAATATCATTCGTAGAAGACTAGCGACAGTCAAAGAACTACATAATTAGACGCATTTTAAACAATCTTTCCTCTTTTCTCATACGTAAGTTTTAGATAAAAATTATCAACTTGTGAAAAGAAAGTTAATATATCAGTGAAGATGAGTCTTGAAGATAATAACTTCATTAATAAATGGAGTTAAGCTTAAAATGATACTTACCATTGGCTAAGTTATAAAGTTATTATTAAATGTATGATCACATGTTTAATGATCCAGACAGTATCAAAATTTCGCATTGGTGAAGGGTTTTAACCATGATTAGGATACTGAAAATTCACCGGTTGATTTTAGCCGACAAAGAAAATGCTTTTAAAGCACTTCTTTTATATTAAAACATAACCAGAGAGTACTGGGTAGTTGTTTTGTGCTAACATGAAGCTCCTCAGAAGTGAACATCGGTGACCCAAACACGGTTCGAACCCGGGTCCTTCAGGTCTTCCAATGAATGTATAATGGACTATATTCAGGGCAGCAATTATAAAGTAATTGAAACAGTTAAATTTTAACCAGGTTACTGGTTCGAACCCTGCTAAACTCATACCAGTCTAGACATCCAAGTAGTACCACTAGTTCTCAAATAGAAATATATAGCCTAATATAATGGTTTAATACACAAAACTGCAATCGACTATCAAGTTTTAGAAAAAAATTATAGTAATTACTTAATAACTAGTGTAATGAGAAGGCATTTCATACTATAGTGATAGACAACCGTAAAATACATTATAACAATAGAACGTTCTGAGCTATCACGTTTATTAAACAATACGAAAGGACAAGGAAATGGAAAAATGAAAATAAATATGGGGCAAATCAGTAACAGAATAACAAAATGATTGAGAATTAATTATTTAAGTCATACTATTTTTATAACAGATAGTGATATTAAACGGCTGTTCCAGCCAAATTAGATATGGAGCGTTAGAGCTTATAACTTACAATTTGAAAACTAATTATCTTAACTAATAATCCGTTGCTTAATAGTGAATGAATCTAAATAATAATGGTTCAGTCAGTCAGCTACAACGTAGGACCAGGCACAAATATGCATCGGTTCAAGTTCCCATACCTAATTAACACACCAAGATGAACACAAAAGTCATAGAAGTAGTTAATTCAGTGGTGGTAAGATATAAAAGAAAGATTGCATATAAGGACATAGTCCGGGAAGACAGAATTAGTTCGTAGAGGGAAAGATATGAAGCGATTTTAATCTCATACTTTAAAGAAAGACAAAGAGTGTATAAACCAACGCCATTGTGATCGAATCTGAGCCATGTCACCCAGAGTCTCCTACCACTGTTTACGATTGTCATATGGACCCCGACCAAATAGTCTGCATCTACCAACATGGCTCAAACTAGAAGTTATTGACTTCAAGCACTGATGCCACGTTTTGGTTTGGCAGCCCCTAACTTTCTTCCAAATATCCCAAACACTAATCAGGATTGCGTGTCGTGGTAATCGGTGTTCAAGCATACGTAACACGTGGCCCAACCATCTCGGTCGATGAAGATTAACAACCTCATCAACTCTTTACGCGTATCTTCTACCCTTAATGGCCACGTCTTGCAGCCGTAAAGTAGAATAGAACAAACTGCTGCACAGTATACTCGTCCCTTGATTGATATGCGGGTATCTCGCCTTCGCAATAGGTCACGTAAGTTTGCAAGAGTCAAACGAACTTCTCGAATCCGTGTTGAGATTTCGTCGGACACCAAAACTTCCAAGATGAGTGAAGTTGTCTACGCAGCATACATAAATAGTACCACTTTCTAGAGTCTCAGCCAAGTAGGTCTGCTGACCAATTTGGCATAGGGCACATACGTTGAAGGCTCTAATGAGCAGTTTGGAGCGAGGTTTCAGTACACCTGAGACAGTGTTTTTACCACAAGAATCGTTGACCATGGTGACACTTAGGGAGGAAGCCAAGAGCGGAAGCTTATTGTTTAAGGTCGATGTAGGAGGAAAAATAGGAATGGAGAAGGGAGGTTGATTATGAATACAGTGGTCTTGAGTGCTGTTAGAGGTATGTGCGCGGTTATCACTTCCCGGTTACCCACACCGTGGAAGGGCTCTTCTGGAGATACCTGAAAAGGAAATTGGATTGGAGGTGGTCTTAGTGACCTGAGAGCGTGACCGCAGTATCCAAGGGACAACTACTTGAGGTCGGTCACAAACGACCTTTTTGTAAGTAATTTTCGTGTTAGCTCCGTACTTGTTGAGACCTTACTGCCGGAGACGGATATCCGTGGGATAAGGTGAGGCGTGCATTTTTAGGGCCGACCTTTTGTAACCCAACCCCTCCTTGTGGGAAGTCAGCGGCGCTGTTATGCTGGTTGTCTGAAGGAAACACCTTACTTCTGTTAAATCTCTGTACAGTCAGCAGTACGACTTCGCCTTCTGACCTTGGTTTTGCTGCTTTTAGTCTTACCGTTCTTCAATCGACCTATCTGACATGATAGGACCTTGAGGAACGATTGTTACAGCCAGTATAGCTCGATTGGTTCATCAAGACAGGCAAGCCCGACCACTACATCAAGGTAGTAACAACGGTCGGGAATCATGATGGTTAATTTGTAAACTATATCATGTGGTGTTGCTCATCACGCTATGATGATTATATTCAGATAGCTCATAATTTCCGAAAATACATATGCCTTGAAAAATTTACTACATATCATTTGTCTTAAAAGTTTGATGATATCTCAGGGACAATAACTGGATTCACAAAACATTTTAACAATAAAAAATAACTTAATAATGTGTAGCATATCGAAACATAATTCAGTTTACTTCCATATTGATCAAATATATCGCTAACTGTTAATTGATAATATAAATGGTTGAAATTAGACATTAATACCGTTGGTTGCTGGTTCAGTAGTTTAGAGGTTAAGTGTTTGCGCACAAAACCGTGAATACGCACTGCTGAGTCCCATACCAAGAAGAAACAGCCGTCCAGTGCTTCTACGTTTCTATTGGTGATCTAACATTGATCGATTCATGATCTCAATAAAAAAAACTCAACAATCTCTACAACTAGACCTATGATGCTTCTGGCACCCAAAAAGCGAGTTTATATTACGCTACCATTCAGAGGTGACACAAATAGTCTCATGTTGAAACAGAAACTTAAATTAGCTATCAACTGGACATTTTATGCAGCCCAACTTGTCATTATCGAAAAGTCACCAAAAGCCCAAACAGCATGAAAACGATTGTGTCACATCCCATTGTGTCTATAAATTTACATGTATGTGTGGAAACACGTACGTAGGGAGGAGCAATCGTGATTTGCAATTAAGGGTAGGTGAACATATACCAAAATGGTTGCAAAATCAGATGAATTCCAATGGTGAAATAAGACCACAGGATAGACAGACATCATCATCCATTGCGAAACATTTGATTGAGACGGGTCATAAGGTTGATATCAAATCAGCATTTGTTGTGTTATACAAAAGCCTTCAAGGACGTTTACTAAGGTTTGTTGAAGCCTTGGCTATACGAAAATTGAAACCCCCTTTATGTGTTCAAAAACAATTTGTACTTACACTTAACCTACCCTGGTAGTATTGATTTACTGTCCAGAGTGGTAATCACATTTGTTTTTGTGTACTTTAATATTTTTTCCTTTGTTATGACTTACCCTTAACCTGTCTAGTTGACCTTTTAATTTTTCATATATAAATATTCTTAACAAGTATATGTGTGATCAGATTGTTCGAAATGTATTGCGCAAATATATCACATAATTCTGATAAACTACGTCTTCTCATTGCATTATCGAAATCTCTACAACCCCATATTGATAATATGAATGTACTTTATTTTACTACAAAATCATTAGTTTATGTTTTATCTAATTCTTTTCTTTCCTTCATGTTCATGCATCAATTTACTTTACACTTTTATAAATGAAACCTATACATATTGCTCTAAATACTAATATATCAACAATAATATACAACAGATAAAATTACTAACAACTGGACATACCTATAATGTTATTTTATGTAACTCAACTATTGGTTTACAGTAAATTTACTACAGAAATGTGTTATAAAAAAAAGGTTGAACAGCTGTAACTTTATAAACATTTGAAATATAATATTTAACACATCTAGTATAAATGTTAATTAAGTTGATTAACTTTTTCCATTTATATTTACTTTAATTAATTTAATGGATGATTTAAATTTAGTCATAACCATAAACTAACAGTAGTTCAAGAACTGTTAGAGACTAGAGAAAACTGGATAACTGTTTTGTTCGACGTTTAGAATTCCTTAGTAATACCCACTTAAAAATTTATAATCTTAGTTAGACAACAAGTGCAATACTTTAGAATCACTTAACCGAAATGAAATTATCTACATTTTAATTTAAATCGATTCGTCATACAGAGCGGTGATCAAGAAATTCCATCAGTAAATGACTTATTCATAAATAAGTTAGCGCCATGAATCCCAACATTCAACTGATAGTTCAAAAAATCTGTCTTAAAGTTAATCGCTATTAAGAACAATAACCAGGAGGTTTTTATAATTACCAAGTAATGAAACATGTGAAAACATTTTTTGAAGAAAAAAGACAACATATATATATTCCAAACTTACATTATTAAGCCATGCATCTGATAATTTTAATGAAGTACTAAACAATTCAATAGCTGAAGTATTCGATTCCAAATTGAAATCTCCAGTAACTATAATTGCATCAGAACCAGTGGATGTCATGCGAACAAATTCCATTATTTCAACTAATTGAGATATTCGATGTCCATTATATTTATCTAACATACGATCTAATTCATAACGAGCAATTAACTTGAATGGAAACAGAAAAAATAACATTTCGAAAAAAAAAGAAAATTGAGCAACTGAATATGAGTATATATATGTATACAACCAAGTTGAAATTATCATGGGATCATTGATTAGTTAAATTGCAAGAAAATAAGATTTGAATTAAAAGGCTTGAGTACAAATTCTAAAAAAATACTATGATTGATCACATTCTTCTATTTACAAATTTATTAGTTCAAGTAGTTACCATTATTAATAAGTGGTTACTAACTTTTATACATGACTTAACAATGTCGATAAATCAAAGATGTGAGTATTTCAAGTCAGATAATTGCGATAGGCTATTCAAAGAAAAGAATGGTATAGGCTAGTACTATGTGAAGTCCACATAGGTTGTTCTAGTCTCTGGACAGATCAATCTATTCACTCTTCTCAAGCCATATTTTTAACCTGTCATTTATTCACTTATCTGGACTGTTTTTTATATGGTCATGTGTGTGCTAATTAATTACCTTACTTATCACATGTCTTATTTTTGGTCTGACTATAAATATCGATTCACATATGTCTAAATGGAGTTGGATCACTCGCCTTTTCCACCTGGTGTCATTTCGTTTTGCTTCGCTTTCCGATCAACGATTGTATGAAATATGTGTATTCAAAAACTCATTCCCGTATTGCACTTATTTAATTCCGTTACTCATTAATGTCAGTTAAGTCGATGATTATATACGAGGATTGACGACATCTATATTTCGACGACAAGCAGCAAACAATCTACCTAGAGTCAGATCTCGAGCCACTAAAGAACTAATTAATACATCCCAGTCTCTAAGGTTTCCTTCCATTTTCGTTTAAACTAAAACCTGAAATAAGTAGGAAAGTATATCTTCGCGAAACTATCGTAAGGGCTTGTATCGTCTAAATAAAGAATATGATTTAGTCGAATGTACTGAATATTATGACACTATATAAGTATAAATCAGTTCAGTTTGTTGATAGAAAGAAACAAACAGGTCATAATCAAACTTGCAAAACTTAAAAAAGTAAGATATTTTGCGATAAAAGTAGATTTGTCATTTAAGACTGTTAGTCTAAAAACAGCGCGGAACATATGAACCAAAGAGTCAATAAATTCCGATATGACAAGGTTAATTAACACGCTAGTCTGATGAAATTCAGCTATTAACAACTTATTGTCACTCTGATCAGAATATTAAACTTGAATAAATGAAGTTTTTTAATGCTCAAAAAGTATCTGAGATGCCTTTTCAGTTTAGTTCTAATGGAATTCTCGACTGATTTACTTTGCTTGACTACAAATTTAGGTTTTATTTCAACACTACTGACAACATACTTTAACTGTGTTTAAATAAAAATTTTAACTTAATCTCTACCAGTTATTTCTATGTAAAAATTCAAATGTACATTCACTCAGTGAACACTAGAATTTCCTTTTTTTTCTCTTGTTGCTTGACTGAAAATATTCACTCACCAGCTTTAGTGATTACATCATGAACATTTTTCCGAAATCCATAAACACTAGCATAATTACTAACCTCAATATCTAGGTACCACTAATATGAGTTCAGATATCGTCATAATTTTCAAAAATAACACAATTTGTAGCAACAACGTTTATAATTTCTTTTTAATTTTTAACTTGTTTAACCCATTAAATGGGTCATATGATTACAGCATCCAAAATATTGTGATGCAAACCTCATTTTTTTGCAGTAGAACTGAAATTACGGAAAAAATATAGCCTTTTGCCAGTATACAAAATCCACGACTATCAAAATTATTGAAGAACAATTCTCTCCTTATTTCAGTAGTATAACAATGGAGAAGACAAAAAAATATCAAAAGCTTTTTATTTGAATAGTAAATCTTAAAAATCTCATTAGACAAGTGGTTATTACAGAACACATAAATCCTTCAAATCAATTGATAATTAAATCATGAATGCTTAAAGAATGATATCAGAAAAAGGTTTTGTGAATACTATAGTAATTTAATAGTTGAGGTCATGAGTCTATTGAAGCTAGACTACCATGAAAAACCTGGAAGCACTGGACGGTCGTTTTGTTCTACTGTGGGACTCTTCAGCCATGTGCATCCACGATCCTGCCCCGCGGGATTCAAACTCAGGACCTATCGGTCTCGTGAGCAAACGCCTAACCTCTAGACCAGTGAGCCGGCATCCAACGGTGTTAATGTCTAACTTCAACCAATCTACGAAATTGAGCAACTGTCCACCATAGTCTTCAGTGAGTTACTATCTCACAACAGACCATGGTGGTCTAGCTTCAATAGACTCATAAACTCAACTGTTAAAATACCACACTATCCACAAAACCCCTTTCTGATAATAATCATCATACGCTCACTAGAGACTGGCTTCAAGAGGTATTTCCTAGGGTTCTAGTGAGAAGCAGTGACCAGTAGAGTCCACCCGGTCAAACATTGTTAAACACAGACTTTATACATCAGTATTATATGTTAGAGATAAAATAATGCTAAATAAATCTATTCACTTGGGGCTTAAGATCATATTAATCTATTAAATAAAATTACACTGTAAATAATAGATATATACGTACCTGGCAAGTTCGTTGGTAAAATTATAACTGTATAAATCACACAAAAAATGATTGCTTTAGAAAAGTGTCATTATTATCATTATTATATAGCTCATCAGTCATATGATATATTGATTATCTGACTAGATACTAATATTATTTTAATTATGCGAGTAAAAAAGGGAAAATGTTTAGAAAAATTTAACATTTATCGAAGTTTATTTAGAATAAAAATATTATTATTATTCGTATCGTTTAAAATTGTGTTAATTTTATTTCGTCCATTTATTTACTTTGAAGAAGTAACTTGAATTAAGTTATGAAACGTCAGAAGTACAATTTTCTACCCATTGAGATATCACAAAAATATTGTTATTATTAATGGCTTTATTCAATATTCTACGTTTAATACAATTCTAAAGTTACAATTCAACAAGTTTCCTTTCCAAAAAAACGACACTTGAATACAGACATAAACTAGGTTAATAAACTAAATGGAACTAAATGAAATATCTTTTAATGAGATTAGAATCTGTATAACTTTTACTTAGAATCATGTTTAGGAATACACGTTATTGACTACGTCAGCTTTTACAACCTGTTCGTCATAATTTATTTGCTAAGTAAGGTATTGCAGAGCTTTTATATATTCGATTGCGTGCATGGATTCTAAGGGATGTATTACATAACCCAGTAATCGTTTCAGTTACCAAAGGAATGATATTTTGAATGTCTTTTTTAAAATATGTTCAATCAAAACATATCTTATTAAACGTTTAGAAAGTTAAATTTGAATATACCAATTTAAAGGTACAAGTTTTTGCGGTAAATTAATGTCAGTCAGTGTTGCTAAATAACGAAAAAGTAAGGAGTAGCCTAACTTTTTATTATATAGTATCTAAGCCTATGACTTTTGTGAGAATTACACTTGCAGACCTCTGATTTCAAGGTGAGCATGAAAACCGTAAACATCTCTAAACTCAAACACAATAACTTAGCTTTGTTAACAAACAAATTATCATCATTACAAAACATTTAGAGTTCGATGAGTACTGCTGTACTTAACTAAACCCGAATTCGCACCTAAATTTATGAATATTAAGGTAGTTGTATTAGTGTTCGCTATTTGTTTTATTTATTCTCATAAAAGAGGACAAAATGAATAGACACTAAGGTATACTCTGATGACTGAAACATACAACATCCAACCAGGTCACAAGTTCTGTCTATTTCGGCTTGGTCAGTTTGAAGTAGAGTATGCCAAACTGTAGGTGGCTTATGAGTACTATAAATACCATTTAGTCATTAATTAAACATATACTTTAATAAAAATATTATTAAAAGATCTCAGGAAAGGTCATTTATCCAAATTCTTGGTAGGTGTTGTCCGTACCACTAAATATAACTTTTGAATAATAAATTATTTTTATTATAGAAAGAAATCGAGACCACTGAAGATCCTATGATATTATTTTGAATAAATTACAAATATAGAAATAAACAAAGCAGAGCATTAATAGCGCTTAATTGATGTAGGCATACAAACTGTAAACGTCGTTCTTTTAATTTTGACAGATTATTTGAAATAGTCACTATTAATCCATAGTTTTTATTCTTCACTCATTGTTTAAACTGTATTTTCTATATTTACATTTCTAATGTGTTTAACTTTATTGTACCTCTTCTATTTCACATATTGTTGATTTCCTGTTTTGTACTAATATGCAATCTAGAAAATTGGATCCCATGTTAACTATTAATTACTAGTTTTGAAGAATCAAAACTTTTTATTTATGTCACATAATCTTTTTTTTGAAAATACCACTACTAAACATCATTAGAATTTCAACTAGTCTATCCTATATTTTCCGCATTATTTATAATACTGCATAAACTATAACTATTGACAGGTTTTATTTCATATACTCAATGCATTACGTTAACAGGAGATTCACTGCCTTACCGTTATATTGGAATGACATATAAGGAATGCTCCATATAAAATCTAACAAGTTCTCTATATTTATATACTTCGCCTTAAGGAATATCCAGGCTATTCATCAAAATTATTTTAATGTGTGAAACTTTTAAATTCATAACATAATTTTGATTGCTATTATATAAACCGTGTAAATGAATTTAATTTATGCACAACATAATATGTCCATTTCGGTCCAATCTGTATTCAGCCAACTGTTTTTACTAAACTCATTCGATGGCTCAAAAAATCCTCAAATTTCTTGTTACGGTAAAACAAAACAGACAAATTACGTTTTCTCACACAGCTAAAAACAATTTTACAAATTTCACAATGTTCAACTAATTTCGATAAAGTAATAAGAAGACGAAGATTATCAGAATTGTGATACATTAGCGCAATACATTTTGAACAATCTGTGTTTACCAATTTAAACGTGTATTTGGTTACACATACATAGG